AGGGGTGTGAGTTGTTGTATTGGTTAATGAATTCTGATGATTTAAAGTATGATACAACATTGGTACTTTTAAAGGCCTCAATGTTTAATTTTGATAGCGACAAACAGATTTGGGTAACCGCTATCGATGTACGTAAATTTCTAAGAGGATCGTGGGCTAATGTTTCATTGATTCATGTTTATATCATGTAGGTTACTTAATCTTCCTTTACTTTGGTTCTTATATTCACTAAAGTAATATTTTTATTGCTATAATGCTGAATTTTTTGTTTTCTATGACTTTATCATGTAGGTATTTAGTAGACAACTTCATCGACCTTTTCAACAGGACTGAGATCACATTCTTTTGTCCTCAACTCATTTCTAGATCTTCAATTGAGAATGTTACCTTGAAATTATACATTTGTGAAGAATACATTTTTGCATGAAGTAAGAAAGACGGGTAAACGTTGCAAATTCATCGTGGCTCCATATGTTGCAAGGTTCGAAATATGTTTTTTATACTGCCACTAAAATTAATCATATAAATGATATGTTTTTCACCAATTTTCCAATACTCTAACTTGTGTTTCCCTCTTAAATGATGAAGTGGTCATTAGGTTCTTGTGGTGGTCGATCTACAATTAGGTTTAGCTTATGAGTTTGACTCTATGAAGCTACCTATAGAAAAACCACGACAATTGAAAATTGCCGAAATTATGATGACGTGAGCCACAACCTTGAAATTATGCCCTAGTTTCTATATCATTTTTGTATGTGGTGTTGTAGATTATTTTGTTCTATGTGTTAGAATATATATTATATTTGTAGGGCTTATAAAGTATATCGAGTGAATCTCACAGGGAATGAATTGCCATCACTTAGGAAAAAATTGAAATTCATACAAATGGAGGTAAATACACTACTCACCCCATATTGTTATACATTGTTCACTTTGAATTTTTTTTTAAACTATTTGTTATATATACTAGTGTGCTCAACAACAAGGAGGCGTTGAATGTGGCTGTTACATTATGAGATATATGTATGAGATTGTTACTTCTCACATGGAGTACAAAGGTGTCTTAGAGGAGGTTAGTAGTTTTTTTTTGCAAATTTTGAAGCCTTTTTAGCTCTATACGCTCCCTAAAGTGAGATAATGGTCAATATTCAATGATTTCAATTCATAAAAACCAAAATATAAGGTAATTAAGGATGTCATTTGTTATATTTTGTTAATTTGAACAAATACATGAAAGATGGGAAAGGTAGAAGTCCCTTAGGCAATTTTGAAGCCTTTTTGGCTCTATACGCTCCCAAAAGTGAGATAATTGTCAATTTTCATTAATTCCAATTCATTAAAACCAAAATATAAGGTAATTAAGGATGTAATGTGTTAAATTGTGTTAATTTGAACAAATACTTGAAAGATGGGAAAGGCAGAAGTCCCTTAGGCAATTTTGAAGCCTTTTTGGCTCTATACGCTCCCAAAAGTGAGATAATGGTCAATTTTCATTGATTTCAATTCATAAAAAACAAAATATAAGGTAATTAAGGATTTTTAGTGTTATATTGTGTTAATTTGAACCAATACATGAAAGATAGGAAAGGTAGAAGTCCCTTAGGCAATTTTGAAGCCTTTTTGTTACTATACGCTCCTAAAAGTGAGTAAATGGTCACTTTTAATTGATTTCAATTCATAGAAACCATAATATAAGGTAATTAGGGATTTTATTTGTTATATTGTGTTAATTGGAACAAATAATTGAAAGATGGGAAAGGAAGAAGTCCCTTAGGCAATTTTGAAGCGTTTTTGGCTCTATACGCTCCCAAGAGTGAGATAATGGTCAATTTTCATTGATTTCAATTCATAAAAACAAAAATATAAGGTAATTAAGGATTTTTAGTGTTATATTGTGTTAATTTGAACCAATACATGAAATATGGGAAAGGTAGAAGTCCCTTAGGCAATTTTGAAGCCTTTTTGGCTCTATACTCTCCTAAAAGTGAGTAAATGGTCACTTTTCATTGATTTCAATTCATAGAAACCAAAATATAAGGTAATTAAGGATTTTATGTGTTATATTGTGTTAATTTGAAGAAATACTTGAAAGATGAGAAAGGCAGAAGTCCCTTAGGGAATTTTGAAGCGTTTTTGGCTCTATACACTCCTAAGAGTGAGATAATGGTCAATTTTCATTGATTTCAATTCATAAAAACCAAAATATAAATTAATTAAGGATTTTTAGTGTTATATTGTGTTAACTTGAACCAATTCATGAAATATGGAAAAGGTAGAAGTCCCTTAGGCAATTTTGAAGCCTTTTTGGCTCTATACGCTCCTAAAAGTGAGTAAATGGTCACTTTTCATTGATTTCAATTCATAGAAACCAAAATATAAGGTAATTAAGGATGTTATGTGTTATATTGTGTTAATTTGAACTAATAAATGAAAGATGGGAAAGGTAGAAGTCCCTTAGGCAATTTTGAAGCGTTTTTGGCTCTATACGCTCCCAAGAGTGAAATAATGGTCACTTTTCATTGATTTCAATTCATATAAACCAAAATATAAGGTAATTAACGATGTTATATGTTATATTGTATTAATTTGAACCAATACTTGAAAGATGGGAAATATAGAAGTCCCTTAGCACAATTTTGAAGCCTTTTTGGCTCTATACGCTCCCAAAAGTGAGTAAATGTTCACTTTCATTGATTTCAACTCATAGAAATCAAAATATAAGTCAATTAAGGATGTTATGTGTTTTATTTCTATATTATGATTTTTATTTCTATAATTTGGTTCATCACATTTATTCTAATGATTGTTTTTATTAAGGATTGTTTTTATTTTGTAACCTCTTTCATATGTTTTTTTTTTTCTCAATAGGATTTTTGTCCAAGGACAGCCCCCTATGATGTTGACGAGTTGAATGTGGTTCGAGAACAGTGGGCACAATACTTTAGAAGTAAATATTTATTGAATGTGTAACTATTAGCTTAGGTAGAACAAAGTAATATTTTTAGTGTTGTTGTATATGTTGGATAAATTTATACAAGTTTTTATTTGTAATGTGTTACTACTTCGGTTTTTTTTATTACGTCGTATTAATTTTTACGAAAGATTTTTCGATATAATTGCTTATTTACAGGAACAGATTTATTATATACCATGTTTTAATTAATATATATTAATTATATATAAATACATGCTGTCGAAATTAAATAAAATAAAAATTTAATTTAATAATTATTTGTAACGGGCAACAGAATTGTCAGTTACAAATAACCAGTTATTCGTAACGGGTATTTTTGTTGCCCGTTACAAATAAGTGTTAAATTATATACAATAAAACTTTATTCGTAACGGACATTTAAGATGTTAGTTACGAATAATCACTTATTCGTAATGGGCGTTTTAGGTGCCCGTTACGAATAAGGACTTATTTTAATACAAAAAAGGATTTATTCGTAACTGACATTTCAAATGTCCGTTACGAATAAGGGTTATTCGTAACTAACATTTCAAATGTCCATTACGAATAATGGGTTATTCGTAATGGACATGTGAAATGTCCGTTACGAATAATGAGTTATTCGTAACGGACAGTGCCCGTTACGAATAACAATGAATATCCGTAACGGCCGCATACGTAACGGACGATGCCCGTTACGGATGGGCCCTTTTTGCCCGTTACAGATGGCGTTTTTTCCACTAGTGTTTCAATCACCCACAATCAAAACAACTAGCTTAAAGGCATTACATAGTGAAATGAAAGCCACTCAATGAGAAAAATTAGGAAAAATTAGGACATATGAGGGGGTTCAATACACTTATAAACATTTCTATATTCAAAACAAAGTGATAGAAGCATTATAACACCATCTAAATGCCAATTTAGCATGTTAAACCAAAATTCATCAACCAAATAATATAATCCCCCATTAAAATAATTCACTTTGACAAAAACCATACAAATACCAATTTCATATCAAATCAAATCAAAAAATACTAGCATAAAAAATTGCAAATGAGCCTAAATCAAACATCATAAACAAGTATTATGCTAGTAAGAACAAAAATTAACCCATGATACAAGTATGAAAATTGCAAGTGAAATCCATAACAAACTTCATCCAAATAAGAAATGTAGCCCAAAAATGACAATACTACACACATACTACTCAAATTAAGTTTCAATCAAACGTCATAAACAAGTAGTACATGAACTAGCAAGTGGTCATGAAATCCAACAAATTTGAGTCTTCAATTCACAAATTAAGCAACAATATGGCTAATTATGCTTACAAAATAAACAATTGAGTGAAGTAGAGTAAGAAAATAATACCAAATTGCTTCACAAGAAATCAAAGAACAAAGACCCAAACGGATGAAATTCGCCGATCTCGTCACTAGAGGAAAAATCAAATTTGAGGTGAATTTTGGAGTTAAATTAGTGTTTTTGATTGTGTGTGACGGTGATTTGTGAAGGGGAATTCTAGAGATGGGGGAAGGAGGAGAAACCTTAGGGTTTGAGTGAGAGGACGAAGTGAGAATAATGGCGAAATGGGGAAAAAAATTGGGTTAAAAGCTTAATTTTTTTTCCGGAAAATCGATGGGAGCGGGCGCTCCATCAACTGGGAGCGGCTGCTCCTATAGGGTGGAGTGGGCGCTCCACCTTACTGAATTTACCTGTTAGATTGAAGAATGGTGCGGGCGCTCCTTCTTTGGGACCGGGCGCTCCACTCCTTGAGCGGGCGCTCCTTGTGAGTGGAGCGGCCGCACCATTATCTTGTTTTGGCTTTTCAAAGGCAAGGAAAATGTGCCCTTTTCCTTCATCTAGCAACATTTCTCGACTCCACTCCTACCCTACAACATCAAACAACACAAAATTCAAACAACCAAACATCTAATTAATCCAAACCCATAAAACACAAAATTAAAGAAAATAAAGAGAAACTCGGGTTACCTCCCAGAAGCGCTTTTGGTTAACGTCGTTAGCTCGACGTTCCTTGAGCAAATCAAGGAGGTTCAAATTGATGATGCACATCAAGAAGAGTTACGGAAATTGGTTCATCATTTGGGATACCTTCGTAATAAGGCTTGAGCCGGTGACCGTTGACTTTGAATGGAGAATGCCCATCTTGAGAAATTTCATAAGCTCCATAAGGGAACACTTTCGTAATAATGTAGGGCCCACTCCATCTTGATCTAAGCTTTCCCGGAAAGAGCTTCAAGCAGGAATTGAATAGGAGGACCTTTTGGCCTTTGACAAATTCTTTCTTGACAATTTGAGCATCGTGCCAAGCCTTAGTCCTTGCCTTGTATATGCTTGCACTATCGTATGCATTCATCCTCAACTCTTCTAACTCATGTAGCTTAAGAAGTCTTTTCTCACCCGCACTATGAAGGTCAAAATTCATTTGCTTGATCGCCCAATGAGTTCGATGCTCCATCTCTACGAGTAAGTGGCAATTTTTCCCATATACAAGCTTATAGGGAGTGGTCCCTATCAGAGTCTAGAAAGCGGTCCTATACGCCCATAGAGAGTCAATGAGCTTAGAAGACCAATCCTTTCTCGTTCTAGCCACCGTCTTCTCCAAGATCACTTTGAGCTCCCTATTAGTGATCTCCGCTTGACCACTCGTTTGAGGGTGGTAAGCGAGCCCTTGCTTATGAGACACTCCATATCTATCAAGAAGCCGAACGAAGGTGTGGTGCTTAAAATGTGACCCCCCCCATCACTAATTATGGCTCTTGGAACACCAAATCTAAGGAAAATCACCTTCTTGAAAAGATTAACCACCACCTTAGAAATATTCGTTGGAGAAGCTACGGCCTCCGCCCACTTAGAAACATAGTCAACGGCAACCAAAATATACTTGTTCCCATGTGAAGAAATAAAAGGGCCCATGAAATCTATAGCCCACACATCAAAAACTTCAAGCTCAAGGATGGGGTTTTGTGGCATTTCATCCCTCCTAGAAATATTCCCCATCCATTGACATCTATCACAAGTCTTGACAAATATCCAAGCATCCTTGAATAGAGAAGGCCAAAAGAGCATAGATTGTAGAACCTTTGAGGCGGTCTTTTGAGCACTAATATTCCCACCACAAGGAGAAGAGTGTAACATATGGAGAACACTTTGAACCTCGTCGTTCGGGACGCATCTGCTCAACAAACCATCGACCCCTCTCTTCAACAAACAATTGTCCTAGAACCAATGAGGTAGGTTCTAAACTTCTCAAATGAGTGAATAACCTCTAAGAACTCATTCTCGGTAGTTTTGTAGTATCGTTGGGCATTATTGAGAGTTTTAGACAAATAGTGTATGACATTAAGCTTCACATCCTTTCGTTTCCCAAGAACCGATCCAATAGCCTCGTCGCTTGCATCGCACATGAGCTCAAATGGAAGAGACCAATCCAGACCTTGGACAATAGGAGCTATGCAAAGTGCTTCTTTCAACCTACAAAAAGACTCTTGACAAGCATCATCAAACACAAACTCTTTATCTTGTTGCAATAGGGATGTGAGAGGCTTAGCAATCAATGAAAAATCTTTTATAAAATGCCGATAGAACCCGGCATGGCCAAGGAAGGATCTCACTTCCCTCACGTTGGTGGGGGGAGGAAGTTTCTCAATGACCTCTACCTTGGCTCTATCTATCTCAATGCCAACATGGGAAATTTTGTGCCCAAGAACAATCCCACTTTCCACCATAAAATGACACTTTTCCCAATTCAACACGAGGTTGTCCCTCTCACATCTTTCTAAGCAACGAGATAAATTGAATAGACAATCTTCATAGGTGGCTCCTCCAAAGGAGAAGTCATCCATGAAGACTTCTATCTCATCCTCAATCATATTACTAAAAATGGACATCATGCAACGTTGAAATGTTGCAGGGGCATTACAAAGCCCGAAAGGCATCCTACAATACGCATAAGTACCGTAGGGGCATATGAAGTTCGTCTTCTGTTGATCCTTGGGGTCAATCGGGATTTGGAAAAATCCCGAGTAACCATCAAGGAAACAATTGAAGGAATGCTTTGTAAGAATTTCCAACATTTGATCAATGAACGGTAGTGGAAAATGATCTTTGCATGTACTTGTGTTAAGTTGGCGATAGTCAATACACATGCGCCAACCGGTAACAAGCCTAGTGGGCACTAGTTGATCATGATCATTTTTCACTACCGTCATGCCCCCTTTCTTAGGAAAAACTTGTACGGGAGATACCCAATCAGTATGAGCAATTGGGTAGGTAATTCCCGCATCAAGAAGCTTAGCCACTTCCTTCCACACAACCTCTTGCATGGAAGGGTTAAGCTTCCTTTGCCTTTTCCTAACGGGTTTGGCATCTCCCTCTAGATCAATTTTGTGCATGCATAAAGATGGACTTATACCTTTGGTGTCATCAATGGTATAACCCAAAGCTTTCTTGTGTTTTCTCAAAACATTGATCAAGAGGGAGGTTTGCTTGCTCCCGTGTTATGTTAGAATTGACAATCACGGGGAAAGACTCATATGAACCAAGAAATGCATACCTCAAGCCCAAAGGTAGAGGTTTCAAGTCTACCTTTGGTTCCCCCTTACCATTAGGGTTCTCTTCTCTTTCTTCAACTTGAAAGTGATCATGAATGTAAGGAGCCTCTTCCTCCATGCTCGCATCCTTTCACTTCCTCTTGCTTTCCTCAAGAAAATCCTCATAGAATTGTATGTCTTCTTTGTGGATACCTATCTTGGGTTCATTAAAAAACACACTTTCAAGAGGACCATTAGTAGCATGCAAGTGGGAGCGAGAAAATTCATTAAGCACGGTACCAAGAACATCTACTCTAAAGCATTCACCACTTGAGGAGGGTTGTTGCATGACACTATTCAAATCAAATTTAATGGAATCATTGTCAATTTTCAAGGATATCTTACCCTCCTTCACATCAATGATAGCTTTAAAAGTAGCTAGAAATGGCCTACCCAAAATTATAGGAATCCTCTCATCCTCATCCATCTCTAGCACATAGAAATCCATGGGGAATGTGAACTTTCCTAACCTAAGGGGAATGTCCTCAACCTTTCCCATGGGGAACTTAATGGAACGGTCCGCTAGTTGGAGAGTAATTTTGGTGGGGGAAAGGGTTCCTACACTAAGCTTTTGGTAGACATAATAGGGCATGAGACTCACACTTGCTCATAAATCACACAAGGCCTTATCAAAATCAATGCCATTAATATAACAAGGGATGGAAAAACTACCCGGATCCTTCAATTTGGTAAGGAGTTTGTTGGAAAGAATTGCACTATAATTGGCGGTCAAGCTCACCATTTCACACTCCCTTCTCCCACTCAAAAGGTCTTTCAAGAACTTGGAATAATGGGGCATTTTCCTCGTAGCATCAACAAAAGGAAGGGAAACATGCAAATTCTTAATAACATCCAAAAACTTTCCAAATTGGGCATCAAGCTTAGCTCTCACAAATCGTTGTGGAAAGGGTAGTTTTTCCTCTCTAGGTTGGCGATTTAGGGGCAAGGGGGTGGCTTCTTTCTCCTTTTGCACCTCAACATCCTTTTCTTTGTCAACACTCAATGGCTCATTGGTTCTCTCACCCTCACTCTCTAACTCCACCTCCTCTTGGGGTTCATCCTCAACTAAGGGGTCATTCCCTACTACCTTCCCACTCCTAGTTGTCACGGCATACAAAGGTTTTAGGTTGATTGCTTGGCTTGGAATGTGAGAAGAAGAAGAAGAAGGAGGGGATGAATTAGATGCAAGTTGAGAAATTTGGTTCTCAAGCATTTTCATGTGAGCATTGGTGCGGTTTTGGGCCTCCTCATGTTTCTTTTTATCCTCCTCTCGCATTTTCAATAAAGCATCTAATTTTGCCATCACGGGATCACTTGGAGGGGCTTCAAGCTGAAGAGGTTGTTGAGGTGGAGGAATTTAGGGTTGATGGAAACCCGGAGGCCTATTAGTTTGGGCAAAGTTAGAAACATATTGTCCCCTATTGCCTCCGGTGCCTTGGTTGGGAACATTTCTTTGTTGATTGTTTCCCGTGTTACCTTGATCACAAAAATTTTAATTTTGATGGTCATAGTAGCGGGAATTAGGTTGTTGGTTTTGATTACCATACCCTCTTTGGTTAGAGTAGCCTTTTCCATTGAAATTGGAAGGGCCTCCCCCACCATGGTATTGATTATCATAACCACCACCACATTTGTTCCAACCACGGTTTCCACCTTGATTCCAATTCCCCATTTAATTGGAGTTTGTGCTCAAGTTCCCTACATTCCCCATTCTAGGAGCAAAACTCATAGCATTGACATCTTCCACATTATCATGATGTTCATGGGGAAGGGGTTGAACTTCACAAGCATATAAACAATGGGAGGTATTATGATCATAGGTTTCACAATTAGAATAAAACATGCATCCTTGAGGCATTTTATTATAAGAAGAGGGGGAAGAAGTGGCCATACCATTGCCTCCCTTGGTTGAAGGGGAGGTACTACCATGAGGATTGGACCTTTCTTTCATCAATTCGTCCATTTGCTTGGTCATTTTAGAGATTTGGGTAGAGAGGTTGTTGATTGCGCTGGCTTGCTCCAATGCATAAACACCCTTAATAGAAGTAGCATCCCTTTGTCCTTCAAACCAATCATCATTGTGCTTTGCGGCCTTCTCTATGATACACTCCACTTCATCCTCTCCTTTGTTCAAGATCGGACCGCCGGCCGTGGCGTCTAGGCTTGTTCTCCCTTGAGGTGTGAGACCTCCATAGAAAGTGTGAATGAGTTGATACTTGGGTATCCCATGATGTGGGCATTGACGTTGAAGTTCTTTGTATCATTCCCATGCCGCACTTAGAGACTCACCACTCTTTTGGCGAAAACCTTAAATCAAAGACATAGCCTCGGCGGTTTCCCTATGGTTATAAAACCTCCTCAAGAAAGCCGTAGTCACTTGGTCCCATGTTGTGAGAAAGTTAGGGGGCACCTCAATCTCTAGCCATTCTAGACCTCTCCTAATTAGTGAAAATGGAAACATCTTGAGGTGAATATATTCTTGAGTCACTCCATTGGCCTTTATTGTGTCACAATATTTCTCAAACTCTTTTAAGTGTTCATAAGGACTCTCAAACTTTCCACCCGAGAATTGTTTCCTCTCTATTAAAGCAATTAAATTGGGCTTGATTTCGAAATTGTTAGCTTGAGTAGTAGGAGTTAGGATCCCACTTTGTGCTCTAAAGGCTTCGGGAGCCCCAAGACGAGTCAAAGGTGTATTCTCTCCCATTTTAGGACTTGATGATGAGTTTAGGCTATCAATTCTTCACTTGAGGGTGAATAGTGTGGAGTATCTTCTAATTCTCGTACTCCTTCTTTCGTTGGGGTGTGAGAATTTCTACTCCTTGCTCTCGCTTCTCTTCGAAGTAGGGACAAAGACCTCTCTAGCTCTGGATCGATGGGAATCAAAGACCATGAAAGGGTTCGTCCTCTTTTCATACAACAAAGCTAAGGAGAATGTAAGCACTGACAAGTAACAAAAGTAGCAAACACTAACAAATAAGAAGTGAGATAGTCTCAAATAAAGCAATGAAATACCAATGGAAGCCGTCTCCCCGGCAACGACGCCAATTTGACAAGGTAATAATCGCGTCGTTAGACAACTACACCTAAGTCAAATACAATTTATAGCACTCGACTCAACCTTATACAAGTATATGGAAAGAAGAGGGATCGAACCACAGGGAGAAGCACATAAACACCGCATTCATCACTTAGAATCTAAGCTATCTCGAAAAAAGGAATGGGAATAACTAGGAGATTAAACTAAGAGCGAAATGGATTAAAATCAATATAACTAGGCACCAAGGGGAATGGGTAGATGTAGATTCTATTTGAGCATGCAATAACATAAAAACAAATCGATAGTGAACTAACACTACTAAAAATTATGGTTTTTGCGACCGCCTTTACTGGTCGCAAAAAATAGCAAAAATGGTCGCAATTCATAATTACGACCGTCAACGGTCGTAAAGGGGTGGTCTTTATTTCCTTGGTCGCAAAAAAAAATTATTACGACTGTTTGACGGTCGCAGATTTATTGCGACCGTTTTTGTTATTTTCAACGACTTCAAGGGAAAAGGTCGCAAATATTAATAATTGCGACTGGTAAAATAAACGGTCGCAATTTTGGAAATTAGCGACCGCTTTTGGCCGTCGCTGAAAGTTGAAAAAAAAGAAATTACGCACCACCCCTGCTATTCAGAGCCACGCCCCCACCACTTCTCACACCCAACTCCACCCACTGCCCCTTCCCAGCCAACCACCTTTACCCACCACACTGCACACCTTAAAACACCACCCAATCACCAAGAAAACCCCAGCCAGCCACCACGAAAACACCAGCCACCATGAAAACCCCAACCACCACGAAAACTAGCAAAAGCCAACCCAAAACAAAGATAAAATCAAACCTAAAAAGCCAAAAAATCCAAACAAAAATTCAAACGAAAAAAAGACAAAATTCCAATGAATAAAACATGGAAATTCAAATTCAAACATGGAATTTCAAATTAATAAAAAAACAGAGAAAATTCAAAGTAATTAACCACAAAATCGAAAATAAAACAATTATCAAACCATAATCAACCAAAAAAATCAAATTCGAAATAAAATCAACAAAAATCAACCCAAAAATCGAAACGAAAATCAAACATACATAGTAACATTAACAAAAATAAAAAAATATCAAACCCAAACATTAACAAAAAAATGAAAACGAAAATGAATCCCAAAATGAACAAAAATTAACATTCGAATACTGAAATTCGAACAAAACATCAAAAAAAAATTCGAATAAAAACTCAGACAAACAAGTATAAACACGATAACATACCTTAAACCTCGAGTTGACTTTGAATTTCACCTCAAATTTGGTTTAATAAGGCCAAATTCGATAATGAAAAGTCTAGATCTAGACTTTTCATGGTCAAATTTGACCTTAAAAACCATTAACTTTCTTAGCAATAAGATTGTGACGGTGGAGATAGTGGTGGTGGGCTAAAGCTTGACGATGGAGGTCATGGTGGTGACGGTTGGCGTCGGTTGAATGTTTGGACGATTTTCGATCTATTTCTTTGAAGTGTGTCTGATTTCCGGCAATAAAAGTCAATTAATAATGAAGGAGGAGAGGAGGAATGAAGGAGGAGAAGAGGAATGGCTAGAAGGAAAGAAGGGGCGAAGGAGGAGAGAGAAACAATTGTGAGAAGAGAGAGAAAGAGAAAAGAGAGAAGGAGCGACTGCTGAAAGTGTAAAGTCTAGGGTTAGAGGTGAGTGGCGTGAATGAGGGAGTGTGAAGTAGTTAGGGTTTGTGAATAAGGTATGCTTTTATACCGTATTTTTTTAATTAAAAAAGAGTGTCTTTTACGACTGTTTTGCCAGTCGCAGATTATGATTATTTACAACCGTCTTTTTGACGGTCGCAGATTATGACATTTACGGCCGTCTTTGCCAGTCGCAGATTATGATTATTTACGACCGTCTCTTTTACGGTCGCAGATTATGACATTTACGACCATCAGAGACGGTCGCAGATTTTGACATTTACGACCGTCTCTTTGATGGTCGCAGATTATGTCATTTACGACCGTCAGAGACGGTAACAGATTATGACATTAACGAACGTCTTTGACGGTCGCAAACAATTTATTTTAATTTGGAATTATTTTTAATTGTTCAAACAGCCTTGCGACCGTCTGAAAGGCTAAAAACGGTCGCAAAACGGTCGCAAATTTGCGACCGTTGTCAAAGCAGTCGTAATATTGCGACCGCATAAAAAACGGTCGCAAAATATGAATTTTGCGACCGTTTTTCAGACGGTCGTAGAAAAACGGTCGCAATTTAGCCGAATTTTAGTAGTGTAAGTTACATGAATATCAAAACTAAGCCCAATCTAATCTCCTTCCGGAGTTAATCGGCTTCTCCTAACATAGCCTCTACGTTTCCACACTAGAACCATATATTGGGAGGTGCAATCAAAGAACAATCGATAATAATGAACCTTAACTAAGTCAACTTCAGTTTCATTTTAGCAAAGATTAAAGAATATCAAGCATGCAAAGGTTTAATCACAAACAACTTAATCCCAATATTATAAGCATGAACAATTAGCAACTACACCATCCCCACACCCTTGGCTTAGTGACTACTCAAAATCATGTTGAAAACAATATCAATCATCAAATCAATAAGCATCAACATGATTAATAAGCAAAGAAGAAAAATCAAATTAAGAAAACAAAACTAAATGCAAAAGTAAAGAGAAAAAGTAAGAGATTGCTCATTAATTGAATTTGAAGATTTACAAAATATCAAACAAGCTTCTTCTTCAAAATCCAAATACATCAATAAAGAAATCCACACTTTCTCTCTCTACCAAATGAAGACTAATGGTGTTTCTTTCTCTATATTAGGGCTAAAAATGTACATAATCATCTCATTACAATCCTAAGGGTATTTAAATGCTCCTCACATTAAAGAAAGGATTAAAAATACGCGAAAATATCCACGAGAGTGGCCGCTCCATCGAGGGGGAGCGGGCGCTCTAGAGGGTATTAATCAAGGAAACCGACTATAGGGGAGCGGACGCTCTCCCAGACAGGAGCGGGCGCTCCAGTGTGCGGAGCGGGCGCTCCTCTCTGGTTGAGCGGCCGCTCCCTAAACCTGTGAAACAGGGCATGAAAGGGAGGAAATGGTGCGGCCTCTTCTATGGGGTGAGCGACTGCTCCTCATGAGTGCTCCGGATTCTTCAAATTCCATGCTCCTCTCTTCTCCTATTCCAATGCACTCCAAAGGGCGAACTAAGCCTCGAGCAATATCACGCGAGCA